AAAAAATGCCGATTGTCAAGTAGGTAAAACTTACCAGCCGCACTTGTTCCACCACCACCACCACCGGGCGCAGCCACAGACGTCTCCGAGTTGCCTCCCAGCGCGCCCACTCCTTCTTCCCCGATTTCCTTCCCAGCAACGCTGACTTCGACCGTATCAGCCGGACGCGCGAGTCTCCAGATATTATAAATGACGTCGTATGTCGTATCCCGAGCGAGGAAGGACGCAAAGCTGTATTTCGCTCTTCGAGTGGTGATTTGGATAGCGTTGGGTATGACAAAGGCGGTCATCTTCTTCTCGAGTGCGGTTATTTCGTATATGGGTATTGAGAGCTATGTGTGTAAAGAAAAGAGGTCAGTATGAAGGGAGGGGAGGAAGGAAGGGGAGGGTAGACACGCACGTCAGTTATCCATCCCAAGATGTTCGCATGGAAACAGATATGGTTTTCCGAGATGTACAGTCTTCCTTGTATGAGAATTTCTCGTTGCAATGCACATCCATAATCTAGAAACGGTCGACAGCGGTGAGAGACGGAAATCCAAAGAAGACAAGACGCCAGCAACACAGCACTCACCCTCGATCAAATAATCACCCTCAGGAATCCCAGGAAACAACTCATGAAACTCCCCATTCCTTCTACTACTCGCAACCGCAAAACCCGTCACACCCCAATCCTGTCCTCCCCCACCACCACCACCCCACCACGCCCCCACGCATCTCCAGCAGCACCAACAGGGCCAGCACCAGCACCAGCAAAAGGCAAACTATCCCCACTCCCCAATCTACTCCTACTCTCACCCCCACCCCCACCTCCACCACCAGCACTCACATCACCCTCACTCCTCCCCCCACCTCCCCGTCCCCGTCCCCTCCTCCGTCGTCCCAAAATCTCCTCATCCTCCGAATCATCATCAAACTCCCCATCCGAGTCTTCAGACCCAGACTCGAGCCCCGAATAATAATCGTGATCGCCCAAGTTGGGCGCTGGAAGCGTGTGTGGGTCGGATATCGTCGACGTCCGTTTCTTCTCCTTCTTTCTCTTTGGTGGGTTGGGAGGAGGAGGAGGAGCGTGTTCGTCGACGTAGGTTGTGGAGGTGTTGTGCGAGATGCCGGAGGTGGAGTTTTGTCGGTTCATCTGGGGGGTGGGAGGGGGGTAAGGTAATTAGATGCTGTAGAGGATTTGCGTTGCTAGCGAGAGAGAGCAGAACGAAGTCGAAGAAGAGAAGAGATGGAAGGACACCACGACGAGAGAATGAAAGTTGACGTTTCAAGAGAAAGAGAGACGACAAGACAAAGCAAGGGGGGGAAAGGGTCGACTGCTGTAAACAACGAGGCGTGAAAGCCGAAACCACGTAAGACGTTCCACCGACGTCAACAGCGCGTAACGCTTGCGGAGGAAAGATTGAGATATTCGGATTAGATGGCAGTTTCTAATCTAGCTCCAGGAAAACGGAGACCGCTTCCACTTGGGAACGAAAGATACCCAAAGTAATGGCGAAAGCCAAGACCAGGCAAGATAATGTCACCAGGAACAAATAAAACGGCGTCGAAGAGTGACCTTGCATGGACGAAGGTGAAAGTCAAAGGGAGAGAGAGAGCCAAATCACATGCACGATTCGAGAAAGAATATCACAAGGGAAAAATAGAATAACCAAAAAAGAACTCCAAACTCACCTGTCTCTGTAACGGTGGACTCAATTGTGGGCCCTGTACACCCGTCAAACCAGGATTAGCCATAGCCAAGCCACTAGCAGCAATCGCTCCTGCCAATCCAGTCGGTTTACTCGTCGGTTTCCGCCACCCGCTGCCCGGACGACCAGACTGCCCAAAACGCCTACTGTGGCTTCTTTTCGATGAGGTGCCTGCTGTGCGTCGGGTGAAGAAGGCGTGCCGGTCGATTTAGACCGTTTGTGCGGTGATGCTGGGACGTCACCAGCCTTTGGAGTCACCACGTCCTCTTTCCCTTGTCCATCTGTCGTGAACACAAATTCCGTCTCCATAGCTGTCGGTGACTCGACGAGTGCGTGGCTGCCACCTGAGCTAGTATTGGAATTCGTACTGTCGAGTGAGTTGACCTTGGGGTTGTGCGCAGCGGTTGCGTTTTTTGCTGGGGGTGATGTATTGGCACCGGTGAAGATAGATCGCAGCGACCTATTGGACGTCTTATGTTTTATGTCTGTCGGTGCTTGTAGAGTCTGCGCAGCAGAGTTCGGCGACTGCGGGAGGGGCGCGTTGGTGGTAATTGGGGAAGTAGATGATGCAGGCGTAGTCGGTCGGGATCTATTCGACTTTTTCCCGCTGGTTCCGTTGGAAACTGCTGGCGCTGATGACTGTGTAGGAGGATTTGCCGCAGAACCAGAACCAGAACCAGGCAATCCTTCGACACCTCCGGGGGAACGGTCACGAGTCCCGTTCTGCCGCGTATCGGGCAACCCAGTTATGCCGCCTCCAATTGGACTTCCATCGGATACCATGGGTGATGGCGGGACGACATGAACGCTGGGATTCGCACTGCTATCAGACTGGTACCCTCTATCACCACCGTTCTCTCCTTTGCTGCTGTTGCTCACTACACGCGTATTCGATCTCGAGTTGGGTGATCGTGAATTCCTTCCTACACCGAGTTGACCAAATTCGCTGGCGCGACCGTTGGGAGTGTCGATGACCGAGACGGTTCGGCTACGGGAGGGGGTAGATGATGTGTTCAGGCTTGTTGTAGACGCTGAGCCTCCGCCCTGCTCGAACGACCTGTCACGACCTTGGGGGCCGTTCACAGTGATGCTCGGGCCTGGTTTTACGAGTTTGGAGAAGAAACCGGGGGCCATCTTTGGATGATATGAGGGCGGTCGAGATGGTAGGGATATGAGAGAGGCTTTCTGTCACTGCTACTGGTCGATAGCTCGTATGTCGTTGGTATGTCGTTCAGTTATTTAGCTACCAGCGCTCCAGAATCCAGATGGAGGGTATCTTATGAAGCAATGTGAAGTCTGGAATAGAGAGAATGAGCACACTGCAGAGATATTGGTCCATAGAGAACAAATTTACCCAAAAAAAAGCGAGCTCGTCGTCAGGAACGATGAGGAGACAATGATGATGATTGACGTCGAAAGCTGTCAAGGTTTTTGTTTGATCATATTTTCTCTCCAGGCGCTTGTTGACGCTGAAGCGCTCGAGCTCATTCAAATTATGGTCATGGACCCTCATCTGCCTGTCAGCCTCCGCTCCCGCAGGGCATTCTTTCTTCTCTCACCTACTCCATCTCACGCAATATCAGGTAATTAGAGATCTTGTGTCAATTATGGTGGGTGTGTTTGGACCCTGCCCTACTAGTACATGTTTTTCAGGGGTCTATTCCAACTCCGCGACGACTCCAGAGCGACACTTCAACGGTAAGTAGTTCTCCAAATTTCTAGACTGCCTCATGGGCCCTATAGGCCCCGAGCGTTGCCGTCGGGCCATGAGCCAAGGCCCAGCACCGCGGCGCTCAGTGTCAGTGTTCAATGCTGGCAGCACCTTTACCATGGGATGCCTTCGTCGATTCTACCTTCATCGTTGTTGTAGCCAACAAACATACCTTCAAAATCAATCAATAGGCTTTCATCTGTCTGAACCACTCGAAATTGAGGGCCACTCACCTGTCCGGTCGTCATCTTTGTCCAGTGTAGCCCACGGAAGTATCGCCTCAGCACCTTCTGTAGCAGGTCTCCTCGCAGGAAATCCGTGCGTGTCTGTCATCCTTGTCACCGTCATCCCAGGTGTCACCGAATGAACCCTGATTCCGCTCTCTTTCAGTTCTTTCGCCAGCGATATTGTGTAGGCATTCAGAGCAGCCTTAGACCCATAGTACGCTGCCGATACGCAAGGGTAGCGCTGCGGATAGTTGGACTGGTAATGATGGGATCCCGCCCCCGAGCTAACGTTCAAGATGATCCCTCTATGGATCGACCTCTTGATGAGTGGTACGAAGGCGGTCGTAACGCGGATTGCACCGAGATAGTTGACCTCGAGGGCTTTGCTTATGAAGTCGACGGGGAGTTCACTTGGTTTGCAAAAGCCGGGGTATATAGCTTGAAGACGTTAGACTCATCGAGGACTCGATTCGCTCCCCTTTGACTCACCGGCGTTGTTTACGAGGACGTCTAGCCTCCCTTCAGCATTCTCTATCGTGTCCCTTGCGGTCCTGACAGACTCATCCTTTGTCACGTCGAGTAAAACCGGTTTCACATCGAGACCGCTGCGCTCTGAGCATAGCTTCTCCCTACGGATCCCAAATGTCATGGTCAGATTGAGGATTGATCCCACCGTCTCCGAAAATAGGTACTCACACTGCTTGCCTCACACTCTCCTCATTCCTTCCAGACAGATAGACTCTATGTCCTTGCTGAGCCAGGAGCTTCACCAACGCATACCCAACTCCAGTATTCGATCCCGTCACGAGCATAATTCGAGAGGTAAGGGACATAGTAGCCAAGTGGGTGTGGGTGGCCCTTGAATCTTCAGAACTTTGCCTCCTTATATCAACACCGACACGGACACGCGGAATATCAGTATACCCAACAAGCATGAAAACGAGCCTCGTCCCTTGTCACTGTGAGTCCCTATCAGCACTGACCGGCCCTTTCATTGATTCTTTCTTAGTCTAGCGATGTCGCGCGGTCATTTAAACAACTTCAGAAGAGTCTAAGTGTTACCGGGCGCCCACACATGGTCGGCGAAGGAGTAAAGAATGATCTGGTTTGTTACATACGAAGTTAGCGCGTTGCACCTACAATTCAGGGAACCGGAGAACGTGGGTGTGTGTAGTAATTGAGTCCAAGGACTTCTTCATGTTCATATCGGTACGGTATTGCACGGACACCATGCTTCGAATTTTGATGGAAAGCACCATTGCTCTTCTCTTCTCTACGACCCCACTGTACCCTTCACGAGATCTGAAAGTCATTTCTCCTCATGAACGTGCTTTCGGCGATTCCAAACTGTTTTGACGACAGCACCCACACGGTCCAATAGTGTAGTGGTCATCACAGTGGATTTTGACGGACTGGCTTCAAAGTTCCATTAACCCAGGTTCGAGTCCTGGTTGGACCTTTTATGACCAAATTTACGTTTTCCTTGCGACAGGATCACTCACAAGGTTTCGCCTCGTTCATGGGCTTTCTTAGTTATAACAGCTTAGTCGGCCGAGCCTCCCTATTGTGGTGTACCGATTATAGTCGTAAAACTTACTCCCATTATATCGGTCTAATAGTGTAGTGGTTATCACAGTGGATTTTGACCATTAGATCATCATTCCATTAACCCAGGTTCGAATCCTGGTTAGACCTCCATTTTTTTTACGACGGCGAGGACAATCGAAACGATAGGATACTAAGCAGCTTCCTATGTTTTTTCGTTCATCTTCCGAGCCGCGAGAAAAAAGGGGGCACAAGTCTTACTATTTACGAAAGCTACATATGTAACTACATACGTTGAAGTCCTTCGTCTGACACATCCTCATGTTACTGTTTGTCTTCTTTGATCTTCACTCCGAGTTTTGCGTTAGTTCTGGCTCGTGCGTGAGCATATGAACTTGCATGTTATCTTGACGAGTGTAATCTTTTTTGCATCCCGGCCAAGGGCATTTATCTAAGTATCCCGAACCCGGGAGCAGTCAGAGTCAGTGAGGCAACGAGTTCAAGCTCTCGCGTTTGACCATACGCACATTTTTCTCGAATGTGCACCCCTCTGTGTCTCACTAGATGAGCATGCCTTGAGAAGCGTTTTCCGCAGCCAACCACTGCGCACAAGAAACGTCGGGCATCATCTTTTTGCACAGAGCGCTTGGTCTCCGAAATGCCATGGGTACACATATGTTTTTTCAATGCATTACTACGGGCGAAGTGCCTCGAGCATCCGGGCCAAGAGCATTTATCTAGAAAATTAGCTCAGACGGCGTTATTTGTAGGGCTAAACGTCGTTGTGGCTCACACTGTCGTTGCCCGCGATAGTGCGAGCGTATGTGTAGAATTCGGCCCGCCGAGCTTAAAAATCGCTTCCGGCATTCAGGAAATGTGCAAGCGTATGTGGAAGCTTCATTTGGAGACATATAAGCGAAGTCCGAGGAACATACGGGGCCAGTAAGGAAGGTAGAAACTCACTCTTATTCTTGTTCTGAGGGACCTCAGTGGTACTGACATGGTCCGTTGCTTTTATCTGCCCTTCCATTGGCTCTGAGGTCTCACACGAGCTACTCTCTTCCTCCCCAGGTTGATACTGGAAGTGTAATAAACGTGGATGCTGTCTATCCGTCCTTGTTCCAAGATGGCAAACAGCGATACTCACCTCCGATTCCTCGTCCTCATCAGAGGTGCGGTATTCTTCCCCCTTCTGCTGTCTGCTAGTGGTTGTGTCTTTCTCTAACTGTGCTATCCTAGCCCTTTGCTGTGCTATCTGGAGGTCAGGAATTCATGTCAATGGATCACAAAAGACCGTTAACATTACTTACTTGTTTCTTTAGCTCGACGATCTCCCTCCGTGCTTGGTCGCGTTCAGCTAGCACGCTCCGGGCTTCTTGTATTGCATTCGCGCTTTCCTCTGTCAATCGTGTCATTTCCCTGCTGTGTTTAGCCTTTGCCTCTGCCTCTCTTGAATACTGTCAGTGTATGGTGTATCCATATGGTCATACACGTTTCGACTAAGCCCTTCGCAGCTTTTGGAGAGACTCACCGTGGAGGAAAGGGTTTCACGGATGAATGAGATCGATTTTTTGATCTGGTCTTGGTACTCATTGGGATTGTTATCCATGGCGCCAGACTCGGACAGTCAGATTTTCTAGCCCTCTCCAGATTCTAGGAGCTCAGAAATGCTTTGAACAAATCGAGTCGAATCGGTTATAGTGAGGGCGATGTCAGAGATGAATCACGAATTTTCAGAGAGTCAGTCAGATGTCATCAGGACAACCGTGAGTCACGGACTCGCAGTCAGGTCACAGGATGGAAGTTATGTGACAAGCCTGTGACAGGCTGCGCTTGGAATCTTTTTTTTTTTTTTGGGTTCTCGGATTACCGCTAGCAGGTAAGACTATCTACCAAGGCGCGGGGGCTATGTAGTCTATAATCTAGATATGTAGTAGATGGACATTAGCCCAGCCATTCTTTGAGCGTCCGTCTGTGTAGTCTCTATGGTTGCACTGAGTGATGCTTCGTGTAGTAAGAGATGCGACTCGTCCGTTCTGGGCTGCGCTTGGAATCAACTTGAACCTTTGACAACCAAACGCCGGCTCAAAATACTCTCACAGTACTCCCTGGCCCAAGCCTGCTCGAATTTTTTATTGGGATCTTGGGTCGACTGAAATATAGTCTTGAGTGACAATGAGCGCGGCCAGCCCCGATCGACTTGAATCACGAAAATCGCCTACTCAAGTATAATAGTTATTTAGGAAACACATTGGAACGGAGGGTAGTTGCGTCTGCAATCTCGGGAGGTCAGATTGAGGTGCAGGGGTTGGAAATAGTAAGTACGGCCTCGCCGCCGAATCTGAATCTTTCCCCTTCTTCGGAGGTAACATTGATTGCGCGTGGTCAATCTATGCATATGCCTTGCAATCCGGGGTTGCTTGTCCGTAAACGTTTTGGGAATCAGACACCGTTTTGCTTGGTTTTGGGGCCCTCCTTTGTAACGAAAAGAATGACAAGGGCTGAGACGGGGAGACAAGAGACATAAGACAAGCCGGTTTGCGGGGCTTGACCATACCAAACCTATATATATGCTTGAGGATTTGCTCGATGGGGATCCTCTAGAGTGTATCGTTCGTTTCTCTGTGCATGAGAGTTGGGAATTTCTGATAGCAGGCCTAGGTTTCCGTGCATGAAATGATATTGGAGGAGCTTTCGGGTTCAGAGAGCCGCATATCGCACCTTAGTCACGCGTAGTTGTGGCCGCAGGACGAAGTGCCCAGACCTTGAAGCCAAGAGGTAGACTCTCAGATCGTAGAGTCCGGAGGTAGGCGGGAGAACAAGCAGGAGTCGAGAGGGAGTCTCAATTTCGGAACTGTCTCAGGAACGATGAACCGGAATTTGAGCTTGAGGTTCGTGGCAGATACGAGTTCATGCACATGCTCGAGCTAAGCCGAGTGGAATGGAAGAGGAAATCAAAGGGTGTATGAATAATGAAGCCTGCAGGAAGGGTTGGGCGCCAACACGGTCAATGCCTGCCGTAGCTCAGGCTGGCGTTCTCACGCCGATCTAAGCTTGTCCTCTAAACGTCACCTCTCTCAAACTTCTCGGACCTGCTGGCAATTTATTCGCGTCGATATCGAGTTACAAGTTCGCCTGAGCTTGTCCTTCTTCAGCTTTACTAGTAATCGGAAACGATGAGAACGACGTATTCATACACGTCTCCTCAACCCAAATGAGGGCGGATGAAGGCAAAGAACACTGCATTCAAGCTATACTTGATGCCTGGATGAACGATCGCGCGGGGAAGCATGGTTGAATTTGCCTTCAAGATGCATATTCGGCTGGTATTTGGAGAGAGAGCACGGAGGAAAGGGCATGGGTGACCGCGAACCCCTTCTGTATGTATAATTCGTCACAATCGAAGGAGCCGAAGGTAGAGTTTTTTCTCTTTTTTGCCTTTATTTTGCCACCTCGCCTTTACGGTTTCATTTATATAGAGTCCACTCGATCGAAGAGAAAAAAGATTCCTGTGTTCTTTCTGTCCTATCGAGGCGACGACGATGGTGCCCTTTGCCTGGCTAGTGGTGTCTCTCGCGTCTACCGTCGTTGCCCAAGACGGCGTGATATCAGGCGCCCAGACAAGTCCTGCAGCTGCTGGATACAGCTGCGATCCTTCTCAATGCCAACTTCCAAGGTGCAATTGCGCGAGCACGAGCCCGCCTGGTGGGCTACAACCTGTATGTTCACCTTATCGCCCTTATTTCCGACTCGCCCGTTGACCTTTCTTTGCGTGTAGTCGGAGGTCCCTCAGTTCATCGTGTTCACCGCGGACGATGCCATTCAATCCTACACCCTCGGCTCTGTCAACCAATTCCTCGCCCATCGCAAGAACCCAAACGGATGCACGCCGAAGATGACCTACTACACCTCTCTCAGTTACACCAACTATACTCTCGTCACTGGTACCCGCTATCTCGTTCACACCCTAGCTATGTATTATCGGTGCTCATACTTCCTTTTTCTCTCTCCTCAGATTGGTATGTTGCAGGGAACGAGATAGCAGACCACACGTAAGTCACGCTTTACATTCGTGATTTCAATCGAAATTCCAATTATTTGTTCACACTCCCTCCTCCCCCCTCTGTAGCATGACACACGTAGGAGACCCCTCAGAGGAAGAAATCAACGGCAACCTAATCACACTAAACGCGCTCGCTGGCATCCCACTCAGTTCGATCAAGGGGTTCCGTGCACCCTTCCTCAACTACTCGGCGGCCACACTCCAACGGCTTTACAAAGCCGGATTCGAATACGATTCTAGTGCTAGCGCTTCTATTCCCGTTACGGATCCAAACACAGACGCGTATTGGCCGTACACTTTGGATTATGGGATGGCGAACGATTGTTTGATGGTTCCGGGAACTTGTCAAGGACAGTTGAAGCTTCCGGGGTTTTGGGAGATGCCGATGTATGCTTTCTTTGATAAGAGGGGGAATGCGGGTCCTCATTTGATGGATCCGTGGTTGTGAGTGTGCTATGCGTCGTCTCTCGTCGTCGTTTACTGGCTGAGAGAACTGACTCTTTGGGTTGCCTGTAGGGATACGGCTAATGGGAACGATAAAGTCAGCGATCAGGATACGTTGGAATACATGAAGGACACTTTTACTGCCCATTACAATGGTAATCGACAGCCGATTGGGCTTTACACCCATCCGATTCATCTTGCCGTATGTGGATCGACCTTTCTCTTTCCATGAGCAATATTCATGTCTCGGCCATAACAGCTCGACTATCCCGGCGTTCAAGTGCCTACCCAAACAGTCCTCATGATAAATGCGTTCCTGGATTGGGCTCAACAACAACAAAACGGTATATCGCTTTCATAAATCTCATCTACACGTATTAAAGTCCTTCTCGAAATTCCTCTCCAGTTTGGATCGTTTCCTCGGCTCAACTCCTTGCTTGGGTCAAGAACCCCGTTCCCGTCTCTCAGCTCGACTCGTTCGAACCACTGAAATGTACCTCACCCGCAATCGATCCAAATACGAAGATCTGCAATGGAGTGCCACAAAATGAGGAGGGCTTACTCTCTCATTGTGCCTTCCCCGATTTCCCCTTCTATACTTGCGTAAGTCATTTTTCCCGATTTCGTGCTTTTACGGTATGTTCGAGTTAAAACATAACATTAAACATATCACTTCTTCCATCATCCATGTAGTATGGATGTCCTGTCAGGCAACCGAGCGTTAAGGAACCGAACCCGCCTCAACAAGGGCAGCCTAGATTTAGACGTACGTCGCCTTCTCCTTTCCTTCCTCCCCCCCTCTCCCCGCCCCGCTCGCGCCCGTTTCGCTAATGAGAACGTTACACGTTTCGTAGTGTCGGCGAACTGTTTGACAGCGTTCTGGGACCCTATTAACGGTAAATGCCTCTGTTCCTCGAGTCAGTGCATGTTCGCGGACGAGTCGAGGCCAATTGGGGTATGTAATTTTATTTTCATCTTAACGGATGCGAACGCGAAATGCTAACTTTTCCCCCCGCTCTTCATCCCCCTTCTTTCGTTCGCCTCGATGATTTTTACCTTTTACACTTCGACCTCGGACTCTCCTAGCCTAATGGTGCTAACTTGACGGGCGGTGGGATCGGTAGTGCGTTTAATGATTCGGGGCAAGATGGTCCGGCGAGGTATATGCCGTTTAATGCTGCAAGAGGAGGAGGACGTGAGGCGGTTGTGTGGTTGGGTTTGGCGGTGGGCGTTGGTGCGTTGGCGTTGGTGATGTAAAAAAAAAGAGAAATAGGTAGTTTGAGGGCTGATCCCCCTCTTTATTCGTTGTATGGATTCGGTTTCCTCGGACAGTTGGTTTGTAACCCTCCCCCCATCTCCCTTCGTTTTTGGATACCCTCAGGATGACGTATTTATTGTCTTTGCTGTTTGTTTGAATTTCTTTCCTTGGTTTTGTACTTACTATACTGTCGATTTGTTGGACTATTACTTCCGTTTGCGTACACTAGTAATGTATCTCTATACCTACATTATCGTATCACCCTACCGACATTTGTCCTCTACATTTCTCGTAAACCCAGTTAGAGCCTACGCAGGGGTCGACTATGATGCCTTGTTGAGCAGGAGTCTGCAACGCTGGGATGGCCGAGTCGTTAAGGCGAGTGATTTGAATTATCAATATCACTTGGTGTTTCACCGCGTAGGTTCAAATCCTGCTCCCAGCGTCCGTAAATACCGCGATGTCGATGATAATTTTTTTTTTGTCCCCAGGACGGGGTTTTGGGCTTGAGAGGAGGTGCACACCCGCGGCATGCAATCGCTTCATATATTTGCTGACGCCCGAAACTGATGCGAGTCTGAAGCTCTGACCACCCAGCCTGTCCTAACGCTTTGATTTTTTGCGTAGATTGAAGGGCCGAGCGGCGGGAAAGCAGCAAGAACTAGCCTCAGTCGTCTTACTACCTGTTTGATTGTGAAGTCTCGATGAGTGTTACGAGTCTTAAAGAGACTCGTAACTGCAAGTAAGCTCAAAGGATCGCATGCCGAGGACCTTCACCGCAAACGACGAACATGCCTATGTGGGCTCGAGCTAATCATCGATGGGCATTGTGGGGACTAGAGAACTCGGGAGTCGAGCGGTATGTGAAAGCTAGAGACGTGGAGTCGCCAACGCTGGGATGGCCGAGTCGTTAAGGCGAGTGATTTGAATATTTCACTATCACTTGGTGTTTCACCGCGTAGGTTCAAATCCTGCTCCCAGCGATACAGTGATACTAATCTAACTTTTTTAATTCCTGTACGCACACCGCCTAGTAGGTGCGAGTAGCATGCTAACGGAGCAGCTCAAAGAGCGTGGACAGAGTGATTCATTTGATCAGTTGTGATTGCCAATTCATGAGACCCGACTCAGCCAAGTTGTGGGGTTTGTCGGCCGTCTCAAGCTCGATTGGCGACGGCAATCAGACCATCCTGGAAATGTTAGAAGTATGGCAGGGATTGACGCGGGGATCAGCAGAAAGCTGGACAGAGTCTAGGTCGTGATTCGTACGCCGCGACCTCAGCCCTACACACCAGCAACTTGGATTATAAGGAGCATCTGTATTCCCAGCCACCTGTCTGAGTCATTTAGCAGGACACTCGATTACTAAACTATAGTAAAATCAACTACAAGGTAGAGCTTTCGATCTAATCCTCGTCTTCATCAAACTCCTGGAATCTCCAGCGGAAGTCCTCTCGCTCCAGCGACCCAAGCACCCGTACCCATCTCCACCCATCAATGTAACGAAATACCCCACACGTGATTCCTTTCCTCTCGAGAGCCTCAAGCCTGGGCAAAAGGGCCTTCGGGAGGGCCAGAGTTGACAGCCTTGAACTACGTAGCGGAATGGCCCTATCGATCATAGCAGGGGACTCGTCGAATACCAGTCGGACTTCCATGAGCCCCCGCGTCGAGTTGGCTTTCAACGTGCTCAGTAGGAGCTCCATGACTTCCTTATGATAATGCGATAATGGAGGTGTGATCTCCCATATGTAGAGAGACTTGAGGTTGGGAAGGAACACTCCCGGGCTGGTACCCACTGTGGAGGATGTGAGTTCAGCGAGGAAAGCCTCGATCCAAGTCTGCGGCTGAACTTTCCAGTGCGAAGCGAATGTTTCTACAATCCTACACGCTTCGAGATTGGGAAAAGAGTGGAGAAGGTATATGATGCTGCCGGGATTCAGGATCTGGGTGGATATGGATAAGTTCCTCAATGATTGGAGCTGGGGCAAAGAATCAAACAGAGAACCAGGTATCCCGTCTCGAGCCACGAGGTCTAGTGTAACAAGGGACGGTAGGTTGAGGGTTTCGAACGACATGCGGTACACGCTACTCGCTTCATACATCTTAATGCGGAGTGATTCTAGCGTGGAAGAGGCGAGCTCTGGAAAAGTCGATTGACCATGCCCAATACCTCCCGTCAGTGCGAGAGACAGCGTGCGGAGGTTTTGCATTTTTCTAAGCTCCGCAAGAGGTTGTGGGTCGAAGCTGGATCCAAAGGTGAAACAGCTTATGGCGAGGTTCCGAATGGTACGGTGCAAGAATAAATGGTACCGGCTAAATATGAGCGCAGAACATCGCACCCTCTCTAGGGCGGGGGCACGTTGGAGTGCCTCAATTATACCTGAGCGATTGTGGTCGTCTTGGTTAGACCATCCTTGCACGATGTCGAGTGCTACCAGGTTGGACAGTTTACCGGTGGTGGGCCGGAATTCAGCGGGATCTGGGATTTCCCAGAGTCGTCGAAGCCTTGGAAAAGTAGTTCGAAACGTCCGAATTCGTGGGAGGTGTGGCGATATTAACGACAGGAGCGCTTCTGAATCAGGCTCAAATGGCATGCTCATCATGCAAACCTGAAGTCGCACGCCTGCCGAGAGGTGAAGATATGATTCTAGAAGAGGACAGATGTCTTTCTGATGCCTGTCACTGAGGTCCAGGTATATGGAGGACCACAGTGATGGAGTGGTCAGAATAACCTCCCTCCACGCTCTGCATACGTGTGATAACGTGTAGGGACCCACACGGATATAATTCCTGAACACATAGAGACCCCCCCCGTAGCGTACAGCAAATGAACGAAAAGATTTCGATCCATAGTTCATTCGGAATGGTTGTAAGCCAGAGGTTCAACATGACTAGGAAATGAAATCAGTTCAGATAGCTCAGAGCATAAACGACTTGCAGATTGAGCCAGACTGACACTACGAGCCCGTTGGTGGTGATGGAAGTTTGAGAGAAGCAGTGGGATCAGACCTAAACGGACTCGCGTAACCTTGTACAACTCCGCACCGCTTTGTGTCCCACGGCCTCAATTGGCTTCGCAGCTCTGGACCATCCAGTGGATCTTCAAGCTGTTTTTAAGCTGTTAGAGAACGCGAAGGAATATCACAGTGACTATAAAGTAAGTCTGCAACTGCATAAGTAATCATCCGGCTTTTCGCGACGGTCGCATTTCAAGCCATATGAATCTTGTTGAGCAACATATTCAATATGAGTATACGCCACTCGAAGTTCGCCGTTCATTCACCAGTCGTTCATACATCCTGGAGGCCCAACCTATACTCAACATCCTCTCGTACGCTAGCCAGAAGATCCTTCTTGGTCTTCTTAGGTGTCCATCCCAGCTGGTTCTTCGCTCGAGTGCTTATACATCGGCTGTTGGACCCAAGGAAGATATACATCGTGTCCGCCTACACAATGCTATTCACTCTTGTCTAGTCGGAAGCTTGAGTTTACTGCTCACCATAGGTCCATAATACTTGGCACACTCTTCCTTTGTGATCGGCGTCGGGTCAGTACTGGTCCCTTTGAGTCTTCCAAGCTCGTTCAAAGCCTTAGAGGTGGCCTCAGCCACTTCGTAGAAAGTAAATTCATCCGCTCCGACAGTGAAATAACCCTCCTTGCCGTGAGGAATTCCATCCTTATCGTCAATGGCCGCGGTGAAAAGCTTGATATACACGTCCACAACTTCTTGGCAAACATGATTTAGCTCGGGTATTGGAACTCGGGATTCGATAATGGTACGTACGTTCGTCGATATGCGCCGCAGGTAGGATATTATTCCCTTTGCCAATGATGAAGCCTTGGCCTCTTGGGATAGCGCCCGTCATCACGTAGGTGAAGAATTCAGTTCTTATGTTCTGGATGCCAGCGTCGACGAGGAGGGACTTGGGAATACCGTATATCGCTGAGGGTGCTATGATGTAGCCTTTGACGTATCCTGAATGTCAATTGGGTTAAACATCATCATTGTGGGAAAGATTGAGACCAGCCTGCACCTTCCTGATCAGCGTCGAGTACTTTGAGCTCCGGAGGGCGATGGAAAGCGTTAGGGGCGACTGTAGCCATTTGAGCGATATTGGCATCGTCCCATATAACATCACTGGATTCCCCGCACGCGTTGTCGCCTAGAACCCCTAAAGAGAACAACATTGAATATTAGTACTCAGTGAAGCTTGGTGCGAGCACGAACCAGTTCCGGACTATAAGTTAGCAATCAATCTCAGTCAGATCAACGGAGCAAGGGATCGCTCACCGTATGAACCAAAATAGGCGCCTTTTCAGTCGCTTCGTAACGTTTCTTGAGCCCGTCAAGAATTGCGCCAGCGGCTTCCGTATTGTTACAGTCGGCCTGAGATAATAAGACAGCGGAGAAACAAATCATGCAGTTGGGAACACACCATAGCCAACACAACGTCCGCTTGCGAAGCTTCTCTTACCATCAATTCACGGTCAAGATGTGACCCCTGAATCGCATTTACGCCAAAGAGATCTCTGAGTTTCTGAGCTTTGTCAGAGTTGCGAATGATCGCTCGGAATTCAAATTTAGAACTAGCATTAGGGAGGGCGAGGAGCTGGGTTAGGACGCTTCCGCCGATGTAACCTGAATGGTAGTTATAGCACGGCGAGAACGAAAGATTAGTGAAAAACATGGGGTAGACCGACTCACCAGTTGCACCAGTGATCAGGACGACAGTTTTTGTCGTCGAGGAAGACATATTGGTCCGTGGAGCCTGGGGAGATATTGAAAGAATCAGACCGAGTCTCTGTGTCCAAGCGGGGTTTAAAGACCCTGACTCGGAGAATAAGGCGACCCATATGTACAAAATTTCCCAGCGCAACTGAACACCAGGTCACGAATGCTGTCAGGTGAAAGTCATTGCGCGTGTGTTAGCTACGAGACGACCTCCTTCTATATGAGCGCCATAGATTCACGGAGAAAAGTCGATATTAATTGTGAACGAGCTATGCGATAAATGGCCATTTGTTGCAAATCTAGAAAGATTAGTGTTGAATGTGACTGCGGCTATATCTCACAGCAAAGGGTGGCAACTAAAGTGCAAATTCAAATGGCGCCGATAAACGACGCGTCCTGTGACCCCGTTTCCTGTTAAACCATTCAATAAACTGTTCATAAGTGGTTAGGAAGATTCTTCGCTATGAATGGCCGTTGCTTGTCATCCGTCCTATGAAAGACGCGATTGCAAAATAGTGACGCAGCGATAGAGGATCCGTAGCATCATTCCTCCTCGATAGTTCTTCGCTTTCCCGTTATTTGCGACTCGTGGTCCAGGGCATCAGTGATACCCGTCAAGAGAACGGGAGGTCAGAGTCGTAGTAGACACTTGTTGAGGTATCTGTTAGTACACAATACACAATCGCCACCTGCCTGATCTGAGTCGACGTGACATTAACCAGCCACCCGCCTCATGCATCCTGGAGGCTCAATCTATACTCTACCTCCTCTCGTACGCTCACCATCAAATCCTTCTTAATCTTGTTAGGTTTCCAACCCAGCTGATTCTTCGCTCGGGTACTTATGCAACGGGTGTTGGACCCAGCAAACATATATATGACGTCCGTCTAGCGGGAGAGAAACCCGACTGATGAGACAGAAAAGTTCAGTTTCATAGTTGTATCCGCTCACCATAGGTCCAAAATACTTGACACACTCTTCCTTGGTGATTGGCGTTGGGTCGGTGCTAGTACCTTTGAGTTTGCCGAAGTCCTTCAAAGCTTTATTGACTTCCTCAGCTACTTCGTTGAAAGTAAACTCGACAGCTCCGACGAAGAAGTAGCCTTCCCTGCCATGAGGAACCCCATCCTTCTCTTCAACGACCGCGGCGAATAGTTTTGCATACACATCTGCGACTTTTCGAAGATCATTTAGTCAGGAGTCTTGGCCTCCAATTGTGGAACATACGTTCATCGATATGTGCTGCTG